AAGAGCAGAGTAGAGGTGCATGATCACTTCCTTCGTCCTGCTGGTCACACTCCTTTTGATGCAGCCCAGTATATTTAGATTTCTGGGCTGTGAACACACACTGCCGGCTCACGTTCACTTCCTCATCAACCATACCCCCAAGTCCTTCTTCCAAATTTTGAAAGCTAACAGAAATGGAGCTGAATATGTTATTCTAAATCAAAGAACTGATTTGCTGGTCCTCCCCCTGAAAATTTTGAAATGGCCATGTAATGAGGAAACAGAAACTAGAACATCTTTGCTAGCTACCTTCCTTTCCAATGTTAGAAGTCTACAGCATAAGATACACGCCATTAAATAGTCAGATGCAAGCTGTGCCTAAGCAAATACCAGTTCTCTATAATTAGAACCTGTCACCAATTCAAACACCTATTTCATGCACAACTGGATTACCCCATGCACTGCGATGTGGCATATCGATTACATAAAACATCACCAGATGCACAATTGCTGCCCCACCCACTGACGGCACAAAACCAACCCTTTACAAGCGATTGAGATTACCAAGCTTCAACAGTAGTTTAGTAAGAATGGAGAAACCAACCCACCCTTCAATGATATCTAACACTGCCTACATTTCCCACCTCCTGCAACACTGAATTCAAGGCAGATCTCAAATTACATTTTATTTCTTCCACAACACATCAGCAATGAGCTCATTCTGCAACCTCTTTATCTTTTCTTATCCTTCCCTTCACTCATCACTTCTCCACTTAGATTTATTAGCTCCTCGGAAGGTTAGACAGTGAACTCATGCCCTCCTCTTTACAGGCTTAACTACTTCCACAGCTGCCTAGGAGCGTGATGCCCTAAAAAACAGGTAAGCAATAAAAAAAAATCTTGAAAAACATAATGACACTGAGATACAAAAATAAAAAGTTAGTTTCCTTCCCAGAGGCAAAACATTTTCTGTTTCCACTTGATTATTTCAATGCTTCGAATCCCACACTCAGTCTGTTTAAATAAACTATGAAATATTTTAACTAGCTCAGAAATCTGAACCTAATCAGTTTGTTACACAGAATATACCAGGATCAACACAAGCAAAGGAATTAGAGCAGCAGCTAGAAAATACTGCCTGAGGAAAAGCTAGTTAGTGCAAGTCAGGAAGAAAAAACAAAAAAGGAAAAAAGCTAACCTGGTACATAGAGAGAAAAAAGGGAGAGGGGGGAAGGAAGGTGTTGTTTTGATAGTGAAAGTACAACTCTTTGTAAGCATGGCTCTGTCTTGTACCTTCACATTTCGTAGCTACAGAAACAAATTTTTGCAAAGAATTCTAAAAATGCTACAGTACTAAAGTTATGCAAAGTGCTGATAAATGCAAAGACCTACATCTTGCCAACAAAGACAGTACCACAAAGCAAGTCCGATTACTTCAGAGAATAAAAACCCAAACTTAATTACATTTATCTGGAGATAAAAGAAGCTTGCAGGATTCAGAAAAGTCTTATTAAAGGAATTTATCTCTTTGCAAACTTCTCCCAGTTTGGGCCAGGACAAGAGCACTGTTGGCTAGCATATCATTTTTACCACTTTGTATCTCTGATATATCTCTGCTGGTCTAACCAAATAATAGTTTAAATTAAAACTATTAATATTAAGCCTCTTTACCAATGAAAACAAGCAGCCTTTATTCTCAATAAGAATTTAGAATAAATGTTAGAAATTACTTCAAAATGGAAAAAAAGTGTTTTTTTTTCCTGCACCATAACGTTACATTGCAAAAAGGATATTATGTATTAACTTCCTAAATCCTTCATTATGCCCAGACCTACCAGATGTAAAATAGGTCATGGAATAAAAGATTCCTGAATCCACACTTACTGAAATGGTAACTAAGTTTCCCATACTGCAAGCAAATACAGATCCTCCTTCCAAAAAGCACCTCCAAAAGAAAAACAAAGTTCTTCAGGTGGGCAACAGATCAAGTTGCAATAAATTCCAAATTGTGATTGTATTTATTTTCCATCAGAAGGGTGATACAACCTCTTTAAGATAACAGAGTTTAAACGATTACATTTTTATATTTGATTAATAAAGAATTGTCCAGAATATAAAAATTGGCATGTCCACTGTCACAATTCAGCCCACTTCTGGATTTAGCAAGCAGTGAACTCTTCAGCAGAAGACTGAGAGAAAGGCCTCTAGAAATCCTTTCCCACCTGAACAACTCTATAATTCTATTACTAAAATCAGAATCAGAAGTAACTACTGGAAAAAAAATAGTTTTAATTATATTGCTTTGTATTACTGTAAAGCAGAGAAAGCAAACCTCAATAATTTAACTTAGAAAATATAACCCCCTATAAACATAAGGTATAACACCCTAGAAAACATAACAGTCCTACCCAGCTCTTAGCACCTCCTCATGAGAAATGTGTTAAGTATCTACATGAAGATCAGCATTCAGACATGAAAACTTTGTTTTCCCTTACCAATGTATAACTTGAAGATAAAGTAGAGCTGCTTGTAATCCAGCAAATAACTGGCAATGCTTACAGATGCTATAGACTTCCTGACAAATAATGCAATGAAAATAGTGACACATTTATGTTCTATGCTACCTCCATGCTATGATGCAAATAATTTAAAATGCAGAAATATATTCATGACTTCAGATACTTATCTTACAGAAAGCAAGGATTAAGCACTAAAATTTTTGAACTACAGTGTTACAGAATTGTTTAGCTGACTAAGCAATTTGACACTCAACAGTAAACTTTTACAAGAGCAGTTAATTAACTTTTTAAAGTCAAACTCTGGACTCTTCAACTTCTTACTAATTGTTTTGACCCAAGAAGTACCAAGTACAAAGGTAGCTAACAGCAGAGTTCAAGAGGAGGCAGTAGTTAGTTGCACCTATCAATGTTCTTGGTCTCCTTTGCCGTGATGCTGCTGTTTCAGATTAGTCAAGCATATTTTTCATGCAATAAATGATTTTCACTTTCATCTCCCCCTAAACACATGCCTCTCCAGTATGGGGACTCCAAGGCCAACCTTCTGTTCACTCCATCCTCTTAAAAACAGTCATCCTTCATTTTAGCATCAAGCTGCGTGATGTATGTGTAACATGCCTGTGTAACAGATTGCAGGAGCAATGGTGATAATACAACTAGTTTCAAACCACATGCATTCTTGCTTGTTATGTACGCACAGTGGTTTAAACACAGACTAGAGTTAAAAATAACAGGCCACTGATGAGCTTCATGAACAGGATGCTCTTCTGCTGTTCAAAGGGAGCAAAATTAAATAAGGGGAGTTGAAAAGCTTTGGTCATAAAATAATCTGGTTTAAACAACACTCAGACAATTTTTAGACAGAATCCTATAATCACAGACAGTAGTCTATTACTTTACTATTGCATGACCACAGTAACCCTTATTCTATACCAGTGGTACCAGTGGTTTTTGTTCCGTTGTTTCTTCCAAAGAGGGTGACACAGGAAGGAAGCAACTTCTTTTTTTTCTTAAACCTACTAGAACTTTCTCAAAATGTTAGAGCTATCTCTCCTTGAGAAAATGTTTGTTTCATTTATGAGAACTCCTGTATGAAAGTAAAATATTCTGTTGAGAAGTGAACAAAACCATGCCTAACTTCAGGCAGTCCTGCAAAGAGCAGAGAGTTAGACTCAATGAACCTTATCGGTCCCTTCCAACTCGAAATATTCTACTGATCCTAACAACCCTTAGTATTACATGTTGTAAAGCTATTTTTATTGCATCTCAAGATGTTGGGACTCTGTTTAACTTATGGCCTCAGCCTTCAAAGAAGTTATCTAGAAAAACCTCATTAACTTTATTGTCATACTAACTGGACTGTTACATGTCAAATTCCTTTTCCTATCAATAAACTTCAGAAAATGTCAGTCAGTATTTGTGCTATTACCTCAGTGTGCTCAGTCTTCCTATATAAATTAGTTTCAGCAGCTCTCTTCAGAGGAACTTATTAGTAACCGCTGAATAACAGAGTTTAAGAACATATAATAAAACGCTCAACTAAATGCAGGCTACATCCGAAAGGCTGCATTAGCCAGGTAAACTTACTGAAGGCTTGCACGGGGCCAGGTTAAGTATATTCTAGAAGCACAAAAGCAGCCAATCCTCGAGCAGATGACTCGTCATAAGTACAAATGATGGCTCACCTAGAGAACACCACAGACTAAGTGGCGATACTCTTGCATATGGTCACGACTAAGAGATGTGAGCAAAGACGTTAATGGGGCTGATACCGATACCCTCAGCCTAAACCCAAATCCAACAGAGAATACAAGGCCTGTATTTACACTTATTTATTCACTACTTGCGAGGGCATGGGGCGAGCCCGCCAAGGGAGCGCCTCAGCCCCGCGGCCGTTATCTCGGCGACCGTTACCAACAGCAGTGGCAGCAGCCGCCGGCCCCCTCTTCTCCTCTTTCCCCTCCGGCTGTCTCTGCCTTTCTCTTCCCCAGGGAGGACGTAGGAAGTCCCCCACCGCCTTACGAACACTCCCTGCTCGGCAAAGACCCGCCGAGGGCGAAGCTTACACCCTTCCCCTCAACCGACACCACAACCCTCAGCCCCCGGGCCGGCGGCGGGGTGGCCTGGCGAGAGCGGGGGGGGGGGGAAGAGCGCTGCCCTCCACTAACAGGGATAGTCAAGTTTCAGCGCGGACGGCACGGAAGGAGGAAGAGGAAATCGAGCGGTGGGGAAGGAGTGCCGGGAGGGGGCAGGGGATGCTGCCGCGCCGACACGCCCCGCTGCCGGGCTGCCTGGCAAATGGGGCTCGGCGCAGGGGGCTGCGATCGGAGAGCGACGAGGGAGGGGGAGGGGAAGGAAGCGAGGCAGCAGCTACCCCGCACAATGGCCGCCCGCCCTCCCCCCCTTCCTTCCTCTCGCTCTCCGTCTCCCTCTTCCCTTCCTCCTCAAGCTGGGGCTACCGCATGACCCGCTTGTGGGCCCCGCGGAGCCCCGGCCTCCCCATACCTGCAGCGTCACCTCCTCAGGTCTCCAGTGGGGCCGCAGGCGGCGTAGGAGCTGCAGGGCGCCCTGGCGGTAGCCGGGCCCCTCCCGCTCGCTGACAGTGATGTCCAGCTTGGGCACCTCGGGGGAGCCGGGCGGGACGTGGATGTAGTTGGACATAGCGGCGGGTGGGCAGAGAGGACGCGGCACAGGGTAACAAGGGCAAGCAGCTCCCGCTAGCGTCTCCTCCACGGCGGACCGGCAACTGAGGGGGAAATTTCCACTTCGGCTCTCGATAAAACGGCTCCGGCTCCACCTCTCCCCGGCTGCGGCGCGGAGCAGCCTGGGACAGCGGGCGGGGCTGGGCGGTGACCGCCCTCCTCCTGCCCTGGGCCGCTCACCTGCTTGCTTGCCTGCCTGCCTGCCTGCCTGCTTTCGGAGCCTGCGGCCGTGAGGCAGTTGCGGTGGGGATTGATGAAAGCTCCCGTGTAGTGTTGCAAGGGGAGCGGCCCCCAGGTTTGCTGGGCGTGAAGGAATGCGGCCGGCACCGCCCAGTCAATCACCGGGCGAAAGACTGATTGTAATCAGGCTTTGAGTTATCTGCTGCGGTTAATTTTTGTCTTTAATTTCTGTGCCAACCTTCGCTGTTTCCCTCGCTCCCCCGCAGGGTGCATACCTTGCTCCAGTTCCAGGCGGTTGCCGTTTGATACTGTTTGTGGTACCTCAGGGCACTGCGAAAGACTCACTCCACCGCCCGCCCTGATCTAAGCGGCTTCGTAAAGATTGTCTTTTTTCATGAGCGGTACAGAGCAGTTAAACTTTTTTGTTTTATGTTGAGAAACTCGCTGCCTTGAAGTTATTTTCAGGGAAAAAAAAGAGCCCGGACTATACCACAGCATTTTACCGAGAAAAAAAAAATAAATAAAATTTAAAAAAAAAAAGAGCAAATGTTCCCTCGTTTAGAAATATTTTAATGCTGCCCCAAATATTCCTACAAGTACCTGCCTCCCGTCACATTCTGTGATCTTCCCACGTAGGGAACACTGAAATCTCAAGAAGTTCCTCTGTTGTAAAGCAAGTTTATTAAGATAGGTTAAGACACAAGAGCTACACAAGCAGAATAATAGCTGGTCTCTTCCCTGAAGAGTTGTTACTTTAAATAGACCCAGCTCAGGGGAAAGGGGAGTAATTTACGCTCGAAATGAACAATGCCGTGAGGGAAGCAGCTAGTTCTACAGCTTTAGTTCTCATTTACCTGACGCGAGTTCCTCTTCAGAAGTTCAGTGCTTTAGTAACCCTTTCATTATGTCACCCACTACCGTCTACTTGTGAATGTCTTGTCTTTCACCAAGAATCATTGTCATCTTGTCACTGAAAGGTTTTGCAGGACCTCACTATTTAGGTGCATTATCACTTCTATTCCTATTGTTCTTGCTGAACACCTCAACCAAATATTTCTTTATTCACCCACCTGTATGCCTTTTCCTTCAGATACGATTACACATTTGGAATATTCTCTCAATTATTTTGCAATTAATTTTCCTTTTTTTTTTTTTATTTCCTGTAATTCCTCATGATCATTAATGTTCGTGTTCACTTCCATCTAAACTTCAGTTTAGATGAAGGGGTTAAAACCTTCAGAGCCAGGAATCTTACCTTTGTGAGAGTTCAATAATCAAAACTTCCTTCTGTTTCATTTTAAGTGAAAATGCAGTGTTTACGGGTTGGTGCTACTAGTGTATGTTACTCTACATTAATAACCTTTCCTTATCAAGGATTAAATGGGTAAGAATACACAGGTCTGAATCAAATTTCAAATGTCATGTATTTCCAGATCTAAAGGTTGAGTATATTTCTAGTGGCAATATGCTTTTAGCTTGCCTTTGTTTAATTCTGTTCCCTGGGAAAAAAAAAAAAAAAAAAAAAAAAGAAAAGTCATCTGTTTAAAATTTAATAACCTGCTTTCCTGCGATTGTTGTATCTGTCTTTTAAATACACTGGCTCACCACTCTCTTAAAATCTTCTTTCTCCATCTCACCTCATCAGACCTACCCATTTCTTCCATTAGCCCACTCTTTCTTCTTTAAAAGTAAGGACATTTTGAAAGTTAAGCTCCCTTTTTGTTTGGGAAAAAAAATTCTTTATGTATACTCACCTTTATACATTGTTCAGTGCTGTAAATTAGAACTACCACAGTGGCATGATACCACTCTATCTGATCAGGCATGTGATACATGGTGCACTCTGCTTCTGCACAGGCAGTTTGGTAGATGATAAACTAAGACTTACTTGCGGATTAAAGGGCAAAGTGACATTTTTGTTGAAATAAAATACCAAAGGTTTAATGCTTCAGCTTTTGTATGCTAATTTCAACAAGAACAGGTTGAAAGCTGATGCTGAACATAATATTCTACTAGAAGCTTTTGGTTTTTAACTCTGGCAAGCCTTGCTAACTTACCCAAGTCTGACTAAATTTCCAGAAGCTGAGTGTGAGTATATTTTAAACATAAAGGGGGAAGTTGGAGCAGTCATGGTGCTTGGATTATTTGGGAATTAAGGAAACTGAACTTCTGACAATTAAATATTTATCAAATAGATGAAAGAACCAATCACATGTAGGCAGTAGCACCATTTTTGTGATCATGGTATAAAGACACACCCTTTTTGCTTGTCTGCATGATGCACTGGGAATTTTTAATTCCTGTTTTAAACCAGTTCAGTAAAAGTTATAGCTAGCTACTCACTCTGTTTTCTTTCCTTTTTTTTTCCTACAAATATTTGCCATGTCCTAATCAAATCACAGAAAATACCTTCTGACTGGGTCTCTTTCTCAAGTTTCCAATAGAATTTCTTTCCTTTTTGGAAAATTTATTTTCTTTCTTTGTCTTTCCCCCTTTTCTGACACCTGTACTCTACAAACTGTGAAATGCATTAATAAGAACCCCAGTGGGTTCCTCACAGGCTAGAAATTGTTCACAGGCTACAAATAGACTTGTTCTTAGAAAGACCTGATGTTACTCCAACTAAGGACCCAGGAATAAAAAGAATGTGTCTAATAATGTTTGATATTTTTTAGGTACACCATGCTAAATTAAAATTATTCTAAGGCTGACAGTAGATGTGCACACTGAACTGAAGAAAACAGGATGTTTTAGATCTCTCCCAGGCTTGTATACTGACTATGCAGCCTGTTTGACCTGCTTATCCTCACTGCTCTGCCATTCCCTTCTCCTTCTTGTGCTGATCAGAAACCAGTTTGTGCCATTTTATTTATTCCTACATTTTTCTTGCCTTTAGGTCAGTGCTGGATGCTTTTTAAGCTCATTAAAAAAAAAAAAACAAACAAACAAACAAACAAAAAAACAAAAAAACCACAAAGGAAAGAGCAACATCAGGCTCAGAACCAGTTTTAACTTCCCAGGTGCAGTTCTCCTGGCTGCTTTCCAAACCCAGTAATTCAGTAATTGCTTCAGAGGAACTCAGTGCATAAATGTGATTATAAATGGGAAGTATATATCTTCTAGCCATAATTAATTTTAATAACATTTTCCTTAGCAGAGAGTTTCAAAATACTTTCTATTGTTCTAATCTCACAAATCCAAAAATTGAGTCATCAGGTTAAATCTGCTATTAGACCAGTCAGTAACAGGCCTGGAAATAATTTTTTACTTCCAGTCCAATCCTTTGATCGCAAGCTTTCTTCGGTGCTTTTAAAGAATGTCATCTCTGTTGATTATCCAGCATGTACTATTTGTGTCAAGATGAATCACATCTCTGTACACACAGTGTTAAACTGTAATTCAACTCTTTATTTATTTATTACATCGATTTTTAAAGTGTCTGGTGCCCTAGCATCCATATTGATTTACCAACAACACTCAACACAGAAAGTTGATAGATCTGTCATGTGTTTATTGTACTCTATAAATAGATTTCATTTTAGTCTTGGTGAAGACTAGCTTGAAATAGATCATTTTATAAAAATCTTGACAGCTTACAGATTTCTCCAAGATAGATACTGCTTGGTATGTTGTTGAAATGGTAGAAACCCTTCTCTTGTGCAAGTTGCTTGCAAGAATAATAGGTTTTAGTTTTCTCAAGAATATTTTGAAAGCTACATGCTATAGCAGAGTAGAAACTTCAATGCTCGTTGTAGTTTTATGGCTTAATTTTCTAGTAGGCTGCCAATTAGTGACACTTATTTGACACATTCCATGTGATAACCTAGTTCCTGACTATATAACCCCTATTTTTTCAACATCGGAGTGGTGCAGTGCCTAATGTTGTGTGGCAACAGATGTGATTACATGTAAAAATAGCTTAGTGGTTTCCAGCTGTTTCAACTTTTCAGGATTTCACTCGTAAAACTCAGAAGTTTCTAGTGGAAGCCTGGACTTCTGTGCTGACAGGCTTGGTTACCTCCAAGGCCACATCAGGTGAACACACAGGTAGGTATCTTTCCTCTGTGCTGTCCCTGGCTCCGAGTCCATGAACTGCAGGCTCAAATACCATGGATAGTTATCCAGTTACATGTCCTGCAAGGAAGCATAAGCAAACTAAACAAAATGCCTAAACATGCATGTTAATTAATCTATATGCATGTTAATTAATCTCAGCGTAGTGAAGAGACAAAACCTGATTAAAACCTGCTTAAGTCAGTAGGACCAAAATCGTGCTTATGCTTAAGGAGGTGCTAAATCAGAATGAGCAGCTCAGCATGGAATTCTGCAAATTCTCCATGCTGGTAGGGCTAAACTGTACATTTGTTTAGGGCTATTTACAAAACATTATAGCCACTGGGTATAAAGAAAGAATAGATAAAGTACTAATTACACTGCTCAAAAATGTAGGTTAAATAAAGCAGGAAAAAAAATCATAATTAAGGCCAGTATCTGCATTCATTTTAAGAGATGTATCTGTATTTTAAAATATGAAGAGTAATTAAAAGTTGACTAATCCTTGACTAAACTTGAACTGTACACAGGTCCAATGGTTAACATATCCTGGAGTTTTTCCTCAAGGGCAACAAATACACATCTGTATAACTACCCAAAGGGAGCCTACTTCGGCGGTTTCAGGATGCCTTGCATGCAAGAATAATTCACCCCCAGCAATATAAGAGGAACTGTTAAATGGCTTTTGTGTCCCTTGGAAATTTAAGGCTTTCTAACATTTTATTGACTAATCAAACATCCTCCTATGAAGAGAAGTTATCAATCTTAGCAATTTGACTCACTCTCTGTGAACAAAGACAGTAACAAATGTGTACTTAAATGTTCTGCAAGCTTGTAAAAGAAGCCTAGAATACTATTTTCCTATTTTTAAGGTATTATCAGAATGCCATTCTGTAGTCTCTAGCGAAACCTCTAATCAATGTTATAGCATAAAAAGAGGGAGAGGATTTACCTTAACTAAACTAAAACAATTGAAAAATGTGCACAGAATTATCTTGAGAGACTGAGAGTATGGGTATCACACATAAATGATTGCCGATTCACATTCTACCTGACTCAATAATAAAGAAGAAAGAAAGGAAAAGAAGGGTGGTGAAGAGGGGAGATGAAAGGGTGAAGGTAGAGAGCAGAAAATTGTTTTATTTCTGTGTCAATGAGAGGAAAAAAAATCACTCAAGTGGCTAATGTGTCTTCCTCACAAAATCACCATTCCAAACAACTTTCCTGGTAATCTCAAGAAGTCAAGGACTGAAAAAAAACATAGATGTTATGCAGAAATTATGCTGCTTTCTCATGCTTATATCCTGTTCCTTCACATCAAGTTGATAGATAACTAGAAGGCCTCTGGGCAATACCACTGCATCCTTTTCATAAGTATTTGAGTTTGTGGACTAAGGTCTGTGTGCCCAGTAGACTCCAAACTGGATGCTCTTTTGGTGCCTCTGTGTGCATCTTTTCCTTAAGCCTTACTAAGCTTTATCTCCAGCTTTGTTTATAGCCTATTTCCCACAGAATTAAGGTTAATGTGACCAGATTTTGTGTCTGTCCTCCCTTAACTTGAGGAGGAGAGACTTTAAAATTTCACTGGGACTTTAAATACCAAAGGTAGTTTTAAATCCTGTAACTGGGAATTACTGAACAGATGGAAAGAATCACTGTTCTTTCTCTCTGAAAGAAAGGATAGTCAAGCTAAACTTTTATCTGTTCTGTTGCTGCTGATGAAGTAGCTTGTTTGGTTTTTGTCTCTATATTTGCCACTTCTCAGATGGGTAGAAGGGAGAGGCCCCTTCACTTTTGAAAGGTATGTAATCCTAGTTTCTCTGGATTAAATTGACTACCATAACCTAGTTTAGTACCCTTTGCTCAGACTTTGCCTCTTTTTAATTTCTTTTGATCCCCCTGCCTTGTTTCTCAGGTAGTGTTCTCATGCTTTGGTCCTTTCTGGCTGGTAGAGGGGGAGTATTTAGCAGCTTAATGAAGGAGATGCATTTTTTCCAAGGAACAAGCAATTGCACCCCAAACTAGTCCATGGCTCTGCAGTCATTTTCTTTTTCCAAAGCAATCCTTCTTGTTTTGTAATAGACATGCTGCTCTTTGCCTGTTGTTGCTTTTGTTGTTTTTCTTCAGGCGGTTTTGTTTGGGGGGTGGGTTGTTGTTTGTTGTGGGTTTTTTTTCATTGCCTTTTGGGTTTTTCTGGTTTCTAGCCAATTACTGTTTCCTTGTGGTCTCCTTCTTTTGTTGTATACCAGCCTGGATAAAATCAGTTACGCCAGAGGAGCAGACCTTTGAGCAGCCTGTTCAGCTTCCATTGCTGTCACCAGGAAAACCATCACCATTTAGTTCATTAGGAGGCAAATGAAGTGAGACAGGCTGTGTATGTTCATACAGTCACATGTGCTTGGATTAAAGTTCAGAGCAGAGCGCTGCTCCCTCACTGCGATCACCCTGCACCCAGCAAGGGTGCAAATTCCATCCACCTTTTGGGGTGCAGTGCCCTGGGGGCTGGGTGCTCTGTGTGCTCCAGTACGGTGGCAGGCAGGCAAGGCTTATCTCACCATCCCCACCAAGGAGCAGGGCAGGCAGACCATGAAGGCAGGCATGCAGGCAGGCCATGAAAGTCCTGCCCATGGCCTGGTTGCACCCCCTGTAGTTCCATCCTGGAACCTGTTCTGAAGGGGGTTGTGGAGAAGCAAAATCTGACTTTCAGAGGGGCAGACTCATATTTCCATTCTTGAACCTACAAACTGTAGGTCACCATCTTGGGCTGCTTTTGAAAGTCCTACAGATTTTACTGTTTTCAGTGTGGTTTATTTCATTATTTATCCTACAGATTTTATTTACTCCTGAGGCACTGAATTTTAGGGGACTTGCCAAAGAAGTGCACTAAGCATAAAAGAACAGCTCAGAACAAACTGATATTTAATCATAGGCTGGAAATATCTTTTACAGACTCCTCTGTTTGCAACTGTTGCTAAGCATGGGAAATTGCTGAATTAGTCAGCTTCATTTGTATTTCTGTTAAGGGAGAGCTTCGAACATTAATTAAATTACATTTCAAGTTTCAGGATAATAAAGTTATGCATTCCCATTGAAAGGTAAAATGATAACATGATAAAAAATAAATACAATATAATAAGATAGCAAATATATGAAGGGGAAAGGGCCAAACTTTGCCAAACTCTCCATCTTTCCCTTCATAGGGTTTTAGGGCTCAACAATCACAGAAGCACAGAGGACTGCAGGGAAGAATTGCTTCCCTGGCTCCTGCTGGCTTCGACCACAAGCACGAAGCAAGAAGGTAGTAAGAGCTGCTGCTACAGGAGCATCATCATGTCTTGCTAGGAGCTTTCCTAAATTTCATTTTTCTCGTGTTTCCTGTAAAATAGTTTGGCTTGTGCAGCAGTCTTTACACTTGAAGATGCACCAGTTTCAGGTTTGTTTCCACAAAGCTTTTAACATGTGAAAAGGAAAGAATATTCATTCCAGTTTCACCCCCACCCTCCATAGGAATAATGCCTCTGGTTCTTGTGGAACCCTGGAATTTTGCATTTCTATGTCTGCTGGCCTTCCTAGCCCAGAGTCCCTGAGGACTGAGGTTCACCTAGAGTACAGCAGAAAATCTTCTGCAAGCAGATTGCAACTGCAACATTTTGTTTCACTGCGAATCGCGTATCCAATGCCTCAATATTAGGCTGCAATTTACAATTTTTTCTTGACTTTAAAGTTTCAAAGTGAGCAGCACTTTTGTTTAGAAGATACTGTTTTCTCTGGTATTTGTTACAATTGGCTCTGCCTCCGAGTATGTCCGGAGCTTAGTCAGCTGTTAGCACAACCAGGGCTTGTTTTTCTTCTTTTTATCACTTTCATCCAGTGGAAAAGTTTCCTGCTGCTCTCCGTACTGATATTTGATATCCTGTCTCCAACTGACGTACGTCTTTAACTTTTAAAGAACAGCATGTCAACTAGCTCTGTTAATTATCACTCATTCTGGGTTTGGTCTTTTTTTTTTTTTTTTTTGTTTCTTTTTGCATTGCAAGATTATTTTGGAGGTGTAACTTCTCAGGGGAATGACTGTTTCTAATCCAACTCCCTCTTCTGTAATTATAAAAAAAAAAAAAAAAAGAAAATAATCACTTTCCCATGTTTTGCAACAATGTGTTTTATTTAATCTACAGAACTAAAGGAATGCTTAGAGTAAGCAAAGCAGTCAGCAGCTTTTCTGAATGTCTGTAACAAGTAGCATTGTAATGCAGAAGAGAGAGATTTTTTGAGTTTCTTGGTTTACATTCTAATAGCTTTTCCTGATAACCATCTTTCCTCTTCTTTTACCAGAAAGCACCACCAGCAACTACCTACATTGGAAAGAAACAGTGGGAATCCATTACTATGCAGTTATTGATAATGTAATCAAATGTATCACTAAAAGCCATGCTAAAAGCTGTCCACTGATCTTTTCATGATAAGTAAACTACAAAAACATTTCCAAAACCTTACTGAACACTGAGCTCTCTGCTTACCTTTACAATTACTTGTTTGCCTTTGGGAACAGGAAGCTGGAAGTGCTAAAAAACCACAAAAGTATACAAAAGCCAAAATACTGAAGGAATGTTTGAAAGGTAGATTGACCTATACTACAGCTGCATAGATTGATTGCCCAGGATTATGCATTTATAAAAACACCTGTGATACCACTCATAAATTCATAGCAGTGGACAAATGGAATTCATAAGATAGCTTTTCTGTGATAGTCACTTCTAGTTCAATAAATCATTGTGTTACTTTTGCTAAGTTGCATAAAATCGTTGTCTCAAGGTCAGCTTCTGTGCGATCCCTAAAGTGTTCCCAAACCAGCTCTGCCAGGGCCTCAGCCAAACCATACCTTCCAAGCCAGTTCCACATGGGGACCTGCGATAAAGAAAAGAAAGTAGAATAAACCCAGATGTTTGAACCTTCAGAATCATTAAAACAAACAAACAAACAAAAAACCCAAAAAAGAAAAAACAAAACAAAAAAAAAAAAAGAAAAAACTCACCTTTAAAACCCTTTTGATGAATTTAAGGTCATAGCTTGTTTGTAGTTCCAAGGAGGAAAACTTTTCCACCAAGAAAAGCTCTTCTTAGTTGTGTGCGTACAAAAAAGTTGATGCCAGAAACCAAACCTCTGGCAGAAAATATTTTTTCTTACAATAACATCTCCCTTGCTTTACTTTTCATAAAGCAAACTCTTTAATTGCTTCCAGAAATACTGTGGGTTTCTGCTCTTCTCTGATGTATTTCAATGTTCTCATTTTTATATTTGTGGGGTTTTTTCAGCATTCTTTCCTCAGCTGTTCAAATCTGATCCTCGTAATTCACTAGATATTTTTCATAAAAAAAAAAAAAAAAAGAAAAATAACATGAGGCTTCTCTTGGAAAGAAAAGCTCACAAGTAAGAGGTTTTACCTGGCCAAAAGACTCTGGCAAAATCTGAATTTCATATGGAAAGGATCACAGAGAAGAACACAAATATAGGAACAAAGCACGCTTTTGATGCAGTTGCTGAAAGTGTAAACAAGATCAGAAAAAGCATAGAAAATGGAATGTAACTAGTACAGGGCTTGGGTTTTTTGAATACTGTGTCTGGAAACACAATCTTAATTTTAGGGGTAAAAAAAAGGGGGGGGGCATAATAGAAAACCTGCATGATAGAAAAGTTTAGGCTCAAAGTTGAAGCAGCAGCTAAAACTGTTCTGTATGTTCGACCCAGTTTTTCAAAACCCTGAAGTTAATTCCAGTTTTATGAACAGAAGATGTTTCTGCATGGGCACAAGGTGAGTGAAAGCAGTACATTTAAAAAATAAGCTGTTTCCAAAGCCACAGCCTATGGAAACACAGCCATAGCCTATGAAAACCTTTTCCACAAAATAATGACTTTTATGTCTCTTATCAGCAAAACAAGGAATTCATCCAATAAAAATTACGCCCAATGAATTTAGAATAAATTAAATAAAAGCATTTACAACTGATATAGGTGTATGGAAAATAGTGCTTTGGGCAGTTCAGGTAAATTTTGTGGCTGAATAATTTTATGGCTTATAATACCTGCAGTTACTGTGCATACCACGTTAAGGACAATTAAGATAAGGGCAATTAAATCTTATTCTTGTAGGGTATAAATTAAATTGGCAAAAGTCACGAGGGACTTCTTTTCTTCCAAACATTATTTATTATTCCACTCTGCATATTTTTAGGGAATATTAGAATATGTAAACCTATTTTTGGAAGCCTCTAGTTCTTCGATACTGCTGATAATAGAAGAGTGGATCACTGATATTATCGGTATCAGATTATTTCTGGTGTCCTTGGTGGAAACCCACAGGGCCTGCAAACACACAGGCAGAAAATCATAGTGAGAACAATGTACTGCATTGTGTATATACTCAAATGCTTGTTAAAACATTAATGCTGCCATATTTAGTACATTTTTCATTTCTTAGATTTGTGCTCCATTATAATTAGAACCTATTTCTACATTCAGTATTCAGAACACATGCTGCTGCATGTTGGCGTGGAGATCTGAGAGAAAAAGGGAGTTCTGCCACTGAGCCTTTCTGCTACCTTAATGAGCTCCCCAGCCCTTCACAGACTGCTGAGGAAATCTGGGTCCTTTGAGGGCTCAGCATAATTCTCAGGGGTTTCTTTGTACACAAGCACAGCTGTGTATCAACTGATGTCACATGTGTGGAACATACATAGACTAGATTTTATTTTCTACATCTTTGTTTTCATATTTGCACCCTGACAGTGCGCTGTTCTGTTTTTATAAACTTGCCTGATGTACAAATGTAATAATACGCTTGTCAAAAGGCAAAAGGAATTCCAGGATGTATCAGGTGAGATTGTCCTAGCAGGGACTACCTACAAATACAGAGCTGCAGGGGATACAGAAGTAGGGGGTTATAGTACAAAGCACTGTTTAGGCCTTATAAAAAGTACCGTGTACAATTCTGCCCCTGTATATTAAAAACCAAAAGAGATATGGATAAAGAATAACAACATGATTAGGTAAATGGAGACCCCTATTCTATTGTAGATTAGATTTCCATCTAGTACACGAAAAGCTGTGGGTGGATGGAATCACCCACCACAAAACTATCTGGACAGATGTATCCTAAAGTGAAAAGATCTCTTTAGGCTAAAACACGATATCGATGTGCACAAAATAGGCATAAACTCATACTGGAGCTCTAGTTGGAAATTTCTAATCACATATGAAGGTTCTGAAGCAGCCTTTAAATATAAGTAATGGGGACAGGAACTGTCAATCAAAAAAAATCAACAAGCTTAGTTAAAATGCCAAGAAATTTGATAACTTTGTCCTCTTTGATACTGAATCAAAAGTAAAGGGCTTCTTAATATCGGGTAGTATATTATCTCAGAGAGATACCAGACATTCCCACATGTTTATTCTCATCAGAGAGGGAACAGTAGAATAACAGCTAGTTAGCTGTACTTTAAATTTAGCATCTTATCAGTGGTGGCCATTTGCAATGGGAAGGGTTGTGCATAGAAACAACCCAGTCTACATCCACCCCACCCCTAGAGTTGAGAGATTTTCTACTTCTCCATAGCTAATGATGTGGTTATCTGATGTGGATAAAACAGAATTATTCTATTACCAGATTACTTTTCAGCTGCATCAACTTCAACTACCTGATTCTGTTCGTCACAATTTAGGTACTGCCTGTTAACAAAGCTGGGAGTTTTACCACATTCCAAAATACTTTTCAGTGACTGCATGAAAAAAAAAAAGAAGAAGTATACAGCCACCAAGAACAGAAAATGAAATTGTGACATGCATCTGGTTTGTGAGCTGGAAGTTCCCTTTCCTCTGGGAGCCATTCAGCATCACAAATAGTTTTGAACTATAACTTCCGTAACACTGTGCTCTGGTAACAAAGCTTCAGTTTGAGACTAGAAGAGATTATAGCTGCAAAGGCTGCGTCTGAAAGACAAAGCTGTTCACTGCACACAGATACAAAAACTGTCCATAAACACAATTTTGTACATTTATCTAATACCAACTTGCAAGATGTGAATTACAAAGGACAGGCAGCATCTAAAACTGCAGGGGGAGTTATCACCCCTTCCACACTTATCTGTTAGCTCCCCTAGCTTGTTAGGATCACTCCCAAAGAGCTCTTGCCTCAGACTTTTAGTTCTCACCCATATTCAGTCTGTCTAAGCTAAGAATTCCTGGCTCAGAAGAATATCAGGGTAAATGACAGCCAAACATGTGCATCTCAAACACTTCATAACACATGCTTTAAAACTAATGCCCACAGAGCACAAGTAGTAAGCACACTTCCAGCAGATTTTCCCCTAGGCCAACAACTCTGCTTTCAGACTATGAGTAGTCTGACAACACCAGCTACCAACCCTGTATCAGTGACTATAGATCAATTCAAATAGGCAAGCTGCAGTATAACTCAGCTGCAGTGATAGTTCATGTGTCATCTTACCTCAATGACACCTAAAAAACAAACCCAAGTGCTACGTATGTATTTTTATAACTCAAGATCTTACACAACAGATAACATTTGAAACATTTTTCTTGTGATATCTGGGACATTTCGTGCTTATATAAACTTGAAGATCAGTGCTATCAAGCTGTTTCCCTACACATGCAAACAATAACAAGGTTAAAAAAATATAATGTCTTAATTTCAAAACAATCCTCCAAAAATGAAGTGAAGGCTGATGAAGTGATTAATCTCTTGATCTGAAGCTTACATAGTGCATTGAGATAATCTCCAGCGTAAATGGAAAATCACTGGAAAGGAAGGTCACAGAGAAAAACGATATTACAGGCAATAGCAGTTAACTCTTTGTATTCAACAGCTGTGTGAGAATTAAGCTTTTAAAAGTTCAAGGCCTTGTCTTCACACAGATCACAGCTGTGCTTTGCATCAAATTCTTGAATCATTTGACCTTTGCAAAAAATACATGGAGGCTTGTCTTTGCAAACTGTTAAGATCAGTCTTGCTTGCCTTTCTGAGGGTTCTGGAGTCACAACAACAAAATCAGGAAAACCAATAGGTTTCATTCAGACTGCTAAAATTAGCCAAGGCAGGTCTGTTCTTAGTCTTTACATTTATTAATGGTAAAATAGTAGAGATCTTTCTTACTCCAAGAGCCTAACTTTAGGATACAGCCCTTATGGGATGGCAATCACGTACTTGCATGCATGAACTCTTCTTGGCTACTGCAAAGAAAATTTTTTCGTTACTCCTTAAAAAATACAGTAGTATGTCTCCTTATTCTGTGTTAAACATGAATTTACTTTTCATTTTAGCAAATTTTTTCCAGCTGCTAGCTGCTTTGGTGCCAGATATCAGCCTTCTTACCTTAACTCCTGACTTTAACAGTGTACCCACCTCACCACCAAACACACCAACACAATTAGACCAGGTGCAGTAGCTCTTACCAGCCTGTATCCACCTTCCTCCACAACTCTCTTCTGCAATTTCTTCCACCTCTCTCCTTAGTCTTTAGCTGTCAGCATCCAAGGTAGGCACTAATATGCCATAGCTTTTGTGAAAACAGGCAAGAGGTGGTGAGAAAATCCTCACCTGTGGCTTTTGTAGCTCCTTCCCCACCTCCCCAGCAAAGAGCTGGACACTGGCTCAGGTTTCTGCCCTTGCTCCTTCCTTAGTTCTTGCCCAAGAGATTTGGTGGGTTGGCTTGCAACCTTGCAGATCATGGCCTTGCCTTGCTGCCTTGCCTGGACTTTCAACCTGCCTTGTTATTATAGACCTGATTTCTAGTTGCCAGGCTGCTAACTGAACCATTATCATTGCTGGACCTGCTCAGCTTTTCTTGTTCAGATGCTGCGGGATGGCAAGTGGTGGGAGATGTCATTGCTCCTGCCCGGTGTCACCTTTAGTTCCTGGCTTGCCTCATTAAGGTCTGTATTTAACTTTCATGCACTGAAAGATGCTGTCATTTTATAGAATTATTATGTATAATTAAGCAATGTACTTAGCATATATTTCTCTAGTGCTGTTCATAATAATCTTTGCTGGTAAAATGAAGGCAGTACCTCCCTCAGCTGCTATCAAGACAGTCCAAGGTGACGATCATAATTCTCCTGTACATAAAAGCAGAGAAAAGCAGAACAAGCCTGATGAATGACAATTTTTTGTACTTTGAAGGCAGTTTGAAGACACTGTCCTCATATTTCAAAAGCCCTATAAATTGTCCTTAACGGGGTCAAATGCAGCATTGAACGCAACTCTGTCAGGAATGAATTAAGACTACTCAAAGAACAAGCACAGATGACAGGGTTTTACTTTAGTTAGTCAGGTTTTACTCTACAGGAGTTTTAACTTAAGAAATAAGGTGGTATGTAGGGAATATAAGGAGTTTGTTTCCTGCACATCTTGAACTTTTATACTTTCTCTGAATGGGTACTTCCTTTCAGTGGTACTCAGGAACACATACAGGAATCATGATAAAACTAAGAAAACACTTGCTTTGCTAGAAGTAGTCATCTGGATCACTCCAATAATTGATTAGCCACAGATAAGAAGACTCTTCTAACTTTAGACTTTTGTGTGGCTTCTCATACAGTTTAAGATTTTATCAATGAAACTCCCTGGTGCAGAGCCCCACATCCTGTGGCTGCACCATTCTTTTGCCACACCATAGAGTGCACGTTCTTAGTAGAAAACACACACCAAACTTGGGACTTCTTGTTGGAGCTCCCTGCCCTTTCTAAGATCTGTGGATAAGAAAAGTACCGTTTCTTCTCTTGTTCACCTTCTCCATCAATGTGAGCCTGGAGGGTTTTTCCAATCTAGCTTGTGAGGTGCTTCATCTCCTAGCAATCACAGTTCCCCCTACTTTACTCGCATGATGTACCATGACCACTTTGCTAAACTGAGTTTGACTGACATTTCTGCAGCAGTAGCACATACTTTTCACAATAAATTGGATGGTGATAAAAAGTGAATTACAAGGATATTACTTTTGGTTTATAGTTTGGACACATTTCAGTTTTGTCTGGACAGGGTGCTGGGACACCTAGTCTATGTCACGCTTTGTCAAGAAAGGTTGGACCAGATGATCCCTGAGGTCCTTTCCAACCTGGTATTCTATGATTTTAAGCTTCTGACTTTACCCACATGAGTTAGGAGCCTAGTTTTTCTGCTTCATATGCATATGTATATGTACTTATGGAGGAGTCAAAATTCAGAATATGAGTCTCTTCTGTCTTCTTTGGCTTAGTATGAGAGTTAAACTTTTAAAATAAACAATGTGAACCCTTTTGTATCAGAAGTTTTGACAGTAAATGAGTATCACTGTGTAGACACAAGCCTGTATTCCACTTTTGTAAGATGTTAAACATAAGGCATTACATGCTCTTGAAAAACAAAACTCAATGGTTTGCCTCATTAATATCCTTTTATTGTTTATACATTAAAAACTTCAGTGTTTAGTAACTCACATCATGTCTATTCCTACTGGAACATAGGAAGCAAAAGCAACACATGCTTATTAAGAATTACATTCATTCCATGTTTTAGAATGCAAAGATTTATTGTTTTGATTGTAATCCAATTTAATCTGTTCAGAGAAAGAAATAACTTGCATATCTTGTGAAGGATCTTGAGGAGCTAGTCTATAGATAGTTCATGCAAAGTTACTATACTTAAAATAATCTTTTCCAAGACACAGACTGGCTTGCTGAAGAGTACATATGTACTCTTGCTGCCTGTACCATAGCAATTGATGAGACAAACTACTAGGATCATAGCTTTAATAAGCACCAACCTACTTAAAAAATTCAGGATCATCATCTATGACCTTGAAAGCAAGTTCAAGATATAAAGATACACATTCCTTAGTACTTCCATGGTTTGGGAATAAATGATCTATTTATGACATCTATACAGGAAAAAAGAAAATACCAAGAATATTAAGCAGAATATAACTATTCTAGTAAGTCTAATATGTACTACAATCACAGCTAAATATTACATTTCTTTGTCTCAATCCTTATAAGGAGGAAGGGCAGAAATGTTGAAAGTGTCACTGGAAGACTAATTATCTATGTTACTATTATATTTAATTAAATTATTACTTAGGTGTCAACTAATTAGGGCTTTGTAAGCATGACACATTCTGAATAGCTATTTTTATTGTACTCCTTCTAACTACATATCTTTGCTAGAGCATCTGTACACAGGACTCAGCTGCAATCTCTGTGAGCTGATATCCCAATTAAGCTTTTGCATATCCCATTTTTTTTATCCCAATTATGCTTTTGCCACTCATTGCTCATAAAATGCACAAACTCATATGCAATGTTGTTTCCCTCACAGAACTGTAAGAAAGATAAATGACATTCAATTACTAGCTTGGAACATGACATCAGATCCAGTTGTTTGATTCCCCCAGTAGGTAATTGCATACATTCCCCTGTTAGTGAAAATTTATTTTATGCAATTTTTTTCAAGAGTAGATGGAAACTGAAACCTTCATACAGCCATAATAGCATGAAATTGAATATTTTCATGTCTCTGTTTCCAGAAACTGCTTGATATGGACCAGATCCCAAACTGCTGAAGTCAACACAAGATTTACTTGAGTAGACTGTTCAAAAGATGTCACTTTCAAAAGAATATGAAGTGCTGAGATTTCATTTCCAAGAGAAATAGTTGATATCGAGAAAACAAGTGCATACAAACAATTCAAAAATATAATCTCAGGACTAAGACATATTGGGCTTTATTTTTACCCTCCCAATATAAGCCTTGAGACTATTTTCTGGCTTCTGGTTTTCCTCAAATGACAACCAGATTTTATTCAATTCACTAGATCTGTATGGGAATAGTGTTTTAGAATATCATTGGAATTAAAAACTTTTTGATGGATAAACTTACTTCATACATATTATAGAATATTAGAAATTTATCTGAATCTATCTGCTGTATCACCAGCATGGTATTTGAATTTCCTGACAACATTTGACTTAAATAATTGATTCCAAGAAACTGTTTCCAAATGAGCTCTGTATTCAGTCTCTATATAATATATAAGAATAGATTATATTACCATCTATCACCAATGTCAGCTCAAATTAGTTCCATTAGCCTGAGAATGACATTGAATAGATTCAGGACAAAAATAAACCACCCATGTATACCATTACTCATACGACGTACTTTAATTCCATCAGGGAAATAACTTACTATAATCATCTGATTTTTATCTAGTTGTTACAGCATCAAGATTTAAAACCATTATTGAGAGATGCAGCTTTAGGCAAAGTAGGATTAAAGTCAGCAAAAATGAGCCATAAGATCCTCCCCAAGTAACCTGGAGTCAAAATGAATGTTTTGGATCATGTGCCAGGTAGCCACCACTTCTTGACTGCCTTCACATCCTCTGTGTAGCTGTCCCCAGGCTCACTCTACCCTTTCAGGGAGGGAACTGCCATAGCAGCAAGGTGACAATCATGGACGGCAGCCTGCCACAGTCACCTTCCTTCTTCATGTAGCACACACCTTTACAAGGCCATGGGCCTTTTCTTGTTCGTTCTTTCCCGCAGGTCAGCAAAAAATGCTGTCTCTGTGAAAGAACTACAGATTCTAAGTGCTCCCAGTGACCTATGATTAGAAACAATTAAAAAATGCCTGCCTTCCACAACTTAATAACTCATATTTCCAGTAGTCACATCTACATATTCTGAGTTTTAATTTGTCCTGCTCAGACTTCCATCACACCTGCTATATTAGAGATCTCTATGGTAGTAGGAATTTGTTCATGTAGATAGTAATAGGCATTAATACTGCTCTTAATCTTCTGTTTAAACAGGCTAACTAGAGTGAACTTCTCCAGTGCAAATCAGAAACCTCTGTAACAATGCCTTATTCATCCCAGCTCATGATAAAACCCACCTCTTCATTTCAGTGAGAGCATTTCACCTTAATGATTTTATTGAGACAGAATTTCACCCTGTGTCTTTTAATCTAATGAGAGAGATTAAGGGTTGCAATGGCACATCAAATACATACAGGCAATAACAAATAGGGGGAATCAGAATTTTGCCCCTGTTTAAATCCTTGCAGCGAGCACACAGCAGAGCAGAAATGAGTTTTTTGTTTTGTTTGGTTTCTTTTTCCCTGGGATGCTGGGATCCTTTACTAGGAACATACATATATATATGTGTGTATGTATATATAGTGATATATATATACATACACATGTCTGGATATAGGACTCCTCTGATAATTATTAAGGATATTTTTGGATTGGTGTCCTGTAGATTTCAACCAGATGTCTTTAAAATATGTATTTTTACAAAGAAATACTGGGATTTTTCTAAAAGCCAAAAACTAGCACTTCAGAGTTTTCTTTGCTGGTAACAGTTGACAAGGACTCCTGTTTCAGACTACTTATCACAGTAACTGCAGTAGAAATGGAACCAGTATCTTCTGTGAATGCTAACAAGCATGGTGTGTTGTAACAAACTAAAAATCAAAAAAACCCTTTTCATTTATTTTTGTTCAAATCAGCTCAATGCAATATAATAAAAAAGGACTTTTCCACATGGGGAAGACAGAGTCCCCCACATCTCAGGTCATGGTGTAACCTGAAGAAAGCCTAGACCACGATCTTCTAATCTATATCTTGAAGAAGGCTAGTAAGCTAAGATAATTGAAACCTGCCCTGAAGTGATGGGCCAGCAGATTGAAGTTATGGTG